AGCTTCTTTTCAAATGTGTAATTCAATCTGGCAGCCGTGGACATCAGCTACTAGAGACAGGTCTGCGTTCACAACAAGTGAGAGATACACTGTGATCCACCTATAGGGCTACTTACTGAGACCTGGGCTGGGAGCACCGATTTTTAATAAACCCGAAAGGAATTCTGATCATGGCAAATAGGGTTTTTTTTTTCTTTTTCTTTTTAATGACAAATCTACTATATATAGTACCTTCCCTTTGACGAGTGAAAAAGAAAAACAAAAGAGCTGAGTCAAATTTTAGGTCAACGAATATTTGCAGTTTTCCTGTCCAACAAGAACCTTTGCTGTAAATTCTTAAAGTAAATAACACATGCTGAAAAAAGACTGCATTTTAGGAGAGATCCTGCACCAAAGCCTTTCATAAAAATAGTATGCAGCATCCACTGCACATCCTGTCTCATTTCCATTCTGAAATCAATGTTTGCTTGGTCTAAATTCAGATTTAACTAATAAAAACAAATACAATAAAACGGTATTCCACATCCCTCAAGAATTATCTTCCAAAGGTATTCAGACTTCCTTACATTACTTACCAGTCCTATGTAAGTCTTTTAAAGAAAAATCTCTGCTTCATCTCTAAAGGAAACTCACTGTTTAGTTAAGGTGGGATTTGCGGTCAGATTTGTTTCATACAAAGAGGAAAGAATGGAGGTATTTTCCTTTACTACAAAGGCAATACCTTTTATCTTTAGAGATGTATATCCATTTCAGTCTGTATTTCATAGCAAATTATATTCTTAACCAGAAAATTCATAGGTGTTTTGAATGTAACATTTTATTATATAGCTTGTTTGTGCCTAGTGTTAATCAGCAACCCAGATAGTTTTATTTTCAGAAAAGAGGACATTGTTTTCAGTCTTCAAAATGTTTTTATTAAAAGTTACTATGTATGTTTTAAAAAGTAACATGCTCACTTGTAAAGCATTCAAACAATTCAAAGGCAAATAAAGTAGAAACCAAAGTCTCCACCTAACTGCCCCCCCCCAAGATGTTTATCGTACTTACTTTATTAAAAAGGGGAATCATATCAGGTCTACAGCTTTTCGATGGCAGTAAGGCAAGAAAAGATTACTTTTTACAAAGCATTTACATTTTATAATTAAACATACACACACACAGTTCATTGTAAACTTCTTGTTAGAAAATAAGCAAGAAAGTGAGAAAAGAGAAAAAAATAATCTTCGTATCTGAAATTAAAACTTTTTTTTAAAGGACATAATTTAGAAACGTTTCTTCCTCCCTTCCACCCCCCCCAATAATAAAAGGTTGCAGACTAACATCAAGAAGTAGCTGCCTTTTGAAGGTCAATCAATCATCTGGTTTTAGTAAAAACTAAAATATTACAAAACACTGACAGTGAAACATGCAGTGAACTCAAAGAAAAATCAGAGCCAGCAATGTGGATGAAACATGACATTAAAAGCAAGAAGAAGACACAAAGCTCTTTTTCTTCCCAGAGTCAAGCAAAATGACTAGGACTTGCAGAGCTCATCCCACCCATGAGCAGAAAGGGTGCACAGACATCATTCCCAGCAGCAGCTGCTGCAAACAAACTGTGCACATTTATCCGGTGACTGGGATGCACAAAGCAAGCACAGACTTTCCGTCAAGAGTCTTGACTAATCTGACACTGCCCACAGCAGATAGGAAATCTGAGGCTATCAATACAGCTAACTGACGCACAGAAATCATCATAGGTAGCTCTGGAAAGAGAACACAGACTCCCACCCCCAAGCAAGAATTCAACTCAAGAAGCCAGAGCAAACTCCTTTTGCATTTTTCAAAAGAAAGGGGGGTGTGGTGGTGTGTGTGTGTGTGTGTGTGTGTAGGCACACACCCATGTGTGCACAACCTTTCTAGAGGAGTGGCTTCCGAGAACTGGGCTGAATTCAGATAAAGTAGAAATGCTCTTCCATCAAATGGCAGGGATTCCTAGAACAGCCTTCTTAGCATGCACCAACAAAACAGGCAGAAATCTATGCCCTCATGAAGCTGACTTTAGTAGACACGGGTAGAAAACAAGTAAGATAGATAAAAGACATAATGGGCTAGAAGCTGGTAAGTGCAATGCAGAAAAATTAGAGAAGGGCAAGAGGGAATACAGAAAGGAGGCCCTTGTGTATTTTTTTTTTAAGTAGGCTCCACACCCAGCGTGGAGCCCAGTGGGGCTCTGAGATGGAGACCTGAGCTGAGATCAGGAGTCAGGCGCTTAACCGACTGAGCCACCCAGGCGCCCCCTAGAGGCTGTTGTGTATTTTATAAGACAGACAGGTAAGGCCTCACTGAGAAGGTGATAGCTCAGTAAAGAGCGGAAGGAAGGGAAGGAACAAGTCTAAGATGTCCCTAAAAACAGATTTAATGCAGTTTAATTCTAGACTAAAATATTAACTCCATGATATCAACAAGAAATTCAAAACTCAATGCCCTCAATGCCCCATCCCTACTAGACCTCCGCACCCAACTACAGCAGATGCAGCAGCCTAATAAGACAAGTGAATGGAAAGATCTCACACATGATGACCAGAGCAACAGGGTCCACTCAGCAATCTCCTCTGCTTAAATAGTTCACAGAGCTTCTACCTCACCAGCAAGGACCTCACTGCTGCCCTGCATCCGTATCAAAGGTTCACATGTTAGAGTGTGGCTCTTCATTCCATTTGGCCTGCTTGGACAGGAGGGTCTTGCAGGGACTCTAAGCCTCTGTCACCTCTGCTGTGATCGGCGACCTCCTATCATCAGCCTGAAAGACCTCAAGTGAGGAGCAGACCATGGGCAGGCCAACTGGGGTGAGAAGGGGACGGGTTGTTGGGCCCTGCAAGCATGACAGAGAACACAGGAGGTGCCGGTGATTATAATTTAAAGGGGGGATAGTGGATTAGTGGATCCGTGGAAAATGAAGAAGGCAGGTACTAGGACTCCAGGCCCCATGCAAATGGGTCAGGGATGATTTCTGAGGATTTGGATCAAGTTAGCAGAAAGCAGCAGAGTACCATATCCATTTTGGTTTGCTGGGACCGGCAGGGTAAGGGTCCTCGGAGTCAGTAAGTACAAAAGGACACCCAGAGATGAGTGTGGCTGGGAAGGAAGGGTGCAGAGACATATAAAGAGGTTCAGAACCAAAGGCAAGGGAAGAAATGGGAACTAGAATTCAGAAAGGTAGGCGGGAGATCAGACAGGGTCTGGAACAAACTCAGAGCCCCAGGCTGTCATACAAGCAGAGGGGGCTTGTGAAGCCAAGGAAAGGAAGTGCCTGCCGCCCACCCTAAGTTCAGTGCCTTGCTAGTGAAGGTACAAGACTGCCAGCAGATCCGTCTCCACGGGGCTGGACTCTGCCGGTACTGGTGACTGAGGACTGCAACTAGGGCACAGGGCAACATCCTTGCCACATCCGTCCTTTCTCTTACAGCTCCTTGCATCCTCCGCATCTACTCACATCTTTCTTACATGTGTGTACACACAATCATAAACACACACACACACACACCAACTTTAACTCCTGTTTCTAATTCTGGAAGGAGTAAGTTTATAAAAATCACCACCATTCCTTTCCCAGTAAGAGTCCAGTCAGGCACCGACTGATTCTACTTGCTGAGGAGCTGTTTCTCACCATCAACCACACGTGACAGAGGCTTTGCAATGGTAACACAGGATGGCACCTGCCCCAGAGCAGACCTCAAGTTCCAGATAAGCCTTTCTGACATGATATACATCACAGGAAACAAGATGACTGGAGCAAGTTACAAAGGAGGATACTTAATACGCTTTAGAAAAGAAATCAGTATCTATCCTGAAGTCCAGGTTAATTTCCAATCCCTAAGAAATTCATAGGAATTGTCAAGAATCTTTAAATCTTATATTTTTCAAAGTCATTTTTGCCAGGCAGGAGGATAAACATAGCTTTCAACCGTCATAAATCCCAGCCCTTGACTGCAGTGTAATTTCCAGAAGCTGGTAGGTATCCAACGTGAAGTTCACTTATATTAAATGGCACAGCAATGAAAACCTGGCAATCTGATCCAGTACCAGCAAGACTAGATATCAAAAGTGCTTCATAAACTAGTAGTTTTTTACACCATCTATTTCAACACAGTGGAATCAGTGCTCTATAAAAACACTGGTAAAAAGAAATGGTTTAGTAAGAACTGAATCCACCTTATTCTCTAAAGGAAAACAGTTAACTGTCAACACTTTTTAGGGGCTACCCCCTAAATGTGCCCTATTTTGTATCCTGATGAAAACTGGTCAACTGTTAACTTTGAAGCCAGGTCAGTTAAGGAAAGCAGCTCATCTCCAAACACAAATCAGATGCTGGGACAGACAGGTCAAGAGACAGTCATTAATAATGGGCCGTTTCTGGTGGAAGTAGCAATGATTTCATGACTTTGTAAAGCATTTTTAATAACTACCTATCTTCCCCTTTTAATTGTTAAGCTTATAATTGCAACAGTGATTAAGCATTCATTCTACCATGAACTATAATTTGTTAATGCAGGGAAAGTTTGATTTTTATGAAACATTTTTAGGTCTTTCCCTCGCAGATACTGAGCAATGCATTACTAATTGTGTTTTACCTTTGCTTTTGCCACTATGATATTCATAATCAAATCTGTAGTCACACCAAGTCACACCATGGGAACCACATTAGAACTTGTTATCTTTCACCCGTTTTAGTTTTCCCCAAATTTCAACATTCTAATAAAATTAATATTTTTGCTGATCATGATTTTTATCTTTCAAACTTATGACACCATTTTATTTCACTAATTTCTAGTGAGGCTCAGATTTTTGTGGAACAGCAAATATAAACAAAATGCTTTGTTCAACGCATATTTAAAATAAAGATCTGACAAGAGTTCTATTGCCCTGATTCATCCTTCTTCTCACTCCACATTAATGAACACAGAATCAAAGTGTCCACGAACCAGTAATGGCCGGAGAAGATTCCACCCAGTACTTACCAGGAGCAATGGTCTCCAGCGTATCAGCACTGACCTTCCGAGTACTTGTGCAGTGATGGAGGGTGGAACCCGAAAATACCAAGTAGAAAACTACATCATCCTCAACTTTGTCCTCTTCAGCCAGCAACACGGTAACTACACAATCGCCCTAGGAAAGGAAAGACAGAGTCAGGTTCCCCTTGGGAGTCCGTCTTCCCAAAACATCAAATTCAAGGGAAAATCAAATGTATCATCTAAACTGGGTCCCATTCTAGTAGGTTATACAAATATAAACACCGAGCACTTACGTGCCAGGAAGTATTATAGGCACTGAGAATACAAAATGATCTGAAAATGAGATCTTTGTCCTCCTTAAAGCTTAGGTTTTAGTGGAGGTGGCTGGACAAATGAGGTATTACAAAGTAATAGTTGGTTTGGATATTTACTTGATGAACAGGTAAAAAAGAAAGAAATCTAAAAGAATCCAAAAATAAGGCCAAGAGGATGGAGGAGGCATACTGAACAGTTACATCCTTATACCCGGAACGCCCCCTGACCCATGTTCCAGTGGCAGTAATAACTCTCAATCTTCCATCCCAGAAATCGCTGCCAAATCCACCCATTCTCCAACAAGGAGAGTCTCCAATGAGCTGGCCTGGAAATGGCAGGGAACAAAGGGCATACGCTTGGGCTCCAGTCAAATCTACAAAGACTTTACTTAAAGCCTCTAAACCGCACTTTCCCTGGCTATATAAATGGAGACAATACCTTCTCTTCTTGTGGCCAATGTATGAAAACTCTTGGAACACATTCAGCTCTCAGGCTGTGATAATATTCTTAATCTACAAGGATGGGACAATAGCTTTTCCAATTATGTGTTTCCTGACCATCTGGAATCCCTACTCTTCTTTACCCACCTCTCCATCAAACCCTTGGAATTAGACAAAAACCTTGTGTCCGCACCTTTGTCCATGACTCTGCAACTACTGAGAAGATATCACTGTTGTTTATTCACATATTCTTTCTAATTTTTACACGTTCATGGTTTTTTTTTTTGAGGTTAGTGTCTAAATTAAATATATTCTATAAAGTACAGTCCTAACTACTATTCTCCCAATCATAAACATTATACAATTCATGTTGTCGCCATAAAAGATTTTAAAGCACTGAGGTTTAGTACCGTCTAAATCTTAATAATGCACTATGAAAAAAAAGAATAATGTACTATGGAAAAACCAATTTAGAGAAAGCCAGGCTACTTTACCATTAAAGAGAGGTGAGAATACTCCTTCCTTACAGCATTTTTTTTTCTTTTCCATTTTAGCAACAGTGAAGCCTATTCGAGAACCATGCCACCCTGTGGCCACAATTTATTAAGCCCAGCAGCACCCCAGAACAGCAGGTAGTTTCATGCAACACTGAAAACCAAAAATCGTAACAGCAAACTTAGGATCAGGTCTATTAACAGCAATGCTTCAATAGGTTGATTCTGGAAACAGAGTTCAAGGTATTTCCCAAAGTCCCAGATGCCCATCTCTTCATTTATCCCCAGTGCTTTGTGCAGAGCCCTGTACATGGTATGGGCTCAAATCTGTTCAGTGCAACAGGTAAGAAGTCAGAACGAACTACAAATAAGCTGTGACTTCCTACAAATGCTGAACTGCAAAGTTCCTAAGCACCCTACCCTAGGAATAGCACAGTCGGTAAAACAGAATCATCACTGGCTGCAGTCACTATTTAGAATTATAATGGAGACTCGTGTAAGTCCCTTTCCTGGAAACGTTTTTGAAAAGCTTAGGCTGGCAAAATGTTTAATACCCTTTGGCATGATAAACCACAGCCAGCTAAAATGTCTACAGCACATGAGAAGAATAAATTTCTCAAGGTATTGAAATACCATTATAACCTGAAAAAAAAAAAATAAAGTGTGAAAGAAAGCTCTAAAGTTTCATCCTTCCGAGCACAGGTTGGCTGACTATAATCCATGGGTGCAATCCAGCTCTCCGCTTGTTTTCATAAGGCTCAAAAGCTAAGAAAGGTTTTCACATTTTCAAGTGGTTGGAAAAAAAATCAAAAGAAAAATATCTTTTAACATGTGAAAATGACATGACATTTGAATTTCAGTGTCCATACATAAAGTCTTCTTGGAACCCAGCCATGCCCACTTGTTTACACGCAGTCTGTGTCTACTTTTGCACTACAATGAGCCACAGCAGAGTTGAGCAGTTCCCACTGAGATCCTGTGGCCTACCAGCCTAAACTACTTACAGTGTGGACTTCTTCGGCGGGGGGGGGGGTTGATAAACGGAATTCTAAGAATATATCTTCTTTCCCAAGATCAGGGATTTCCTCTTCATGTGAGACCCAACATCTTGCTAGAAGACTCTGTGCCCAAGATATTAAGTGGTATTTGGGACCTTCTTTTAACTGAGGGCAGAGGAGAGGGCTACAGGGCAGTTTAAATCCTTTTAACAAAGCTTTCAACATCAACTTCTTTCTTCATTCCCAAGACAAAAGTAAATAAGCTTTAAACTGCTTTCATAGCTTCAGTTTTTTTTTTTTTTTTTTTTTTTAATGTTAAGTCAAACTACCCAAAACACTAAATAGAAGGGCACACAGAAGCCTCATTCACCTCAAAGCTACTTGAAATTCAGATTCCAAAGGCACCTGGCATGAAAGTACCTGTTTTCGCTCAAGGAGAGCCCTCTGCACTCTCGTCAAGTCCCTGGGAGCAAACAATCCACACTCTCACTCCGCAGGTCAGCTACAAGACCCCTACATAGATCCCCCCCAGCAGTACAGGGCACCCAGAGGCCCTGCAGATGGACTTGCAAGATTAAGCTAGTGCAAGGGTGACTGAAAAATAAGGCTGAAAAACAGATCTAAGTAAGAATTTTTGTTGAGGTGATTGCTTTAACCATACCTCCCCTAAGGAATATCCTGGCACATGATTTTGCTGCTCATGGGAAGGATACGCCCCATGGAATGAATACATAGGTCAATCTGGCTGCCCAGTTAATAAGTCTGTCACGCATCTAACGACAATAGATAACAAGGGCAATTTTCTGTACGTTCTTGACTAAAGCCCCAGGAAAAGAGGCATCTACATCTCCAGTTCTCCAGTAAACTGAAGAAACATAGTGCTCTCCTTACAAAGATACTTTCCTTGTCTCTTCATTAATGGAAAATATATCCTTGAACCTCACAGTTTTGTCAGAGTCCTGATTATTTTTGCTGACAGGTGACAAAAGAACTAATGGAAAAAGACAATCTATACGAGGCCCCATTTTGTAGGTATTGGTGATCCCCAAAATATGAATGCACTGTAGTCCTAAATGCCACCAATCAGTCACTTATTTGCCAAGAAAAACAGAATTTTATTTTTATCTGTTTTTTAAAATGTATTATTTTTATTTAAATTCAATTAGCCAATATATAGTACATCATTAGTTTTTGATGCAATGTTCAATGATTAGTTGCGTAAAACACCCAGTGCTCATCACATCATGTGCCCTCCTTAATGCCCACCAGAAAAACAGAATTTTAAATGGCAGCTGTGGTCTCAATTCTCCCCATCTTTAACTCATGTATATAGTAGATATATGGTATTAATGTTGCTATAATCACCTTTACGTATTTATTAATGACTAAAACAAAATTTTTTTCCCACTCAGATTTCTAACCTGGAATTCAAAGAACAGATCTTCCTTTTGTAGAACAAGGATTTTTCTCTCCACATGAGACCCAACACCTTGCTGATAGACTCTCCATGCCCCAAGATATGAGTTATGCCTGGGGCCTTCCTTAAACCAGGGACAGTATCTTGATTAGGGGGAAAAAAGGAATGGGCCAGGGAAAAGCATCAGAGCTGGGAAAAAGTGAATTACAGTGTGGGAAATGAACAAGGCCTTGCAAACAGGGGAGATGTTAGCTGGAGATGAGGGGAATGAGACAGGAAGTTTTGTGGGAGGAATGGTCAAAGAAGGGCCAGCACTGACGTCTCAGATGGCAAGACAGTGCCAGCCGTCAGGTTTCTGGCGGTGGGCCCCAGCAGTGGTAAGCTGGAGCTGGCTTGTACAGGCTCGTGAGAGCTGATCGCTGTGTTTTTAGGAATTCTGCAAGCTTGTTAACACAGCCATTATTAAAAATTAAATAAGCTCAGAATTACGTAAATTATATTAAAAACAAATTAATAAATACTCAAAACTCATCACTTTATTTTACCACACCTTCCTGTTACCTATAATCTCGAGGTTTACATCTCTTTTATCTCTATGACAGAAATTCTGTCATGATGGTGTGTTACTGCACATTTTCTCCAACACACACCCCTTGCCAACCTTGTGTTCAGTGAGGTAGCACTGATAGCTTGAAATCAACGATAATAGCAGTATTTACACACTGAAATTGGCAAATGCTACAAATCAGGGCTTTTCTTTTTTCTTTTTAACCATCACATCATTGAGAATAGGTTAGCAGAAGGGGAGAGAGGGAAAGTGAGAGAATTTCTACAGGTAAGGCAAGGATATGCCATGGCAGGCCCGATCTAGACAGGAGACTGCTTATGAGAATGAGAGTGGAGGACCAGCCCTCAGAGAAAACCCGGGGCAAGTACAAAGCATCCCAGGTCCACGGATAACAACACTGCCAGAATTCTGCTCACGGAAGATCAATGTTATCTCCACCTTAAGTCAATTTGTTTTCTAACTTTCAAATTTGGCTTTTAACTTATTAACATACCACAGTGGGTAAAGGGATGGTCTCTGAACCACAGCATGGCACATCACTTTGTTTTAACCTCTTCGGTACGTTAAATTCTCAGCCATAAGAGAGGACCATCATATTTACTTCATACGGTTGTAATTAAATAACTGATAAAAGTGAAGCTCCTGGGGGCGTCTGGGTGGCTCAGCTGGTTGAGCATCTGACTCTTGGTTTTGGCTCAGGTCATGATCTCAGGGTCATGAGAGCAAGCCCCGTGTTGGACTCTGTCCTCAGCGGGGAGTCTGCATGAGATTTTCCCTCCCTCTGCCCGCCCCCCACATGTGTGTACTCTTTCTCTCCTCTCTCTCTCAAACAAATATATCTTTTAAAAAAAAGTGAAGCACCTACAGCACTGCATGGGACATAACACATGTTCAATAAATAGTAATTATTGTAATAATTACT